GGGGGGGGGTTTTTGGAAAGAAAAAAATTTTTTTTTAAAAGGGAAACCCCCAAAAAGGGGGGGGGAAGGGGGGGGTTTTTTTTTTTTTTAAGGTTTTTTTTTTTTTCCCCGGGAAAAAAAAAGGGGGCCCCTTTTTTTTTTGGGGGGGGGAAAAATTTTTTGGGGGGGGCCCCGGGAAGGGGGGGGGGTTTTTTGGGAAAAGGGGGGGGGGAAAAATTTTTTTTTTTGGGGGGGTTTTTTTGTTTTTTTTTCCCCCCCCCCCCCCCGGGGGAAAATTTGGGGGGGAAAAATTTTGGGGGGGGCCCCCCCCCCCCTTTTGGGGGGGGGGTTTTTTTTTCCCCCGGGGGGCCCCTTTGAAAAACCCCCCGGAAAATTTTTAAAAACCCCCCCCCTTTTTTTTTGGGTTTTTTAAAAAATTTTTAAAATTTTAAAAATTTGGGGAAAAGGGGTTTTAAAAATTCCCTTTTTTTTTTTGGGGGGGGGGAAAGGGGGTTTTTTTTTGGGGGGGGGGCCCCCCCCCCCTTTTTCCCCGGGGGGGGGGGGAAAAAAAATTTTTTTTTTTTTAAAAAAAAAAATTTTTAAAAGGGGGTTTGGGAAGGTTTTTTGGGGGGGGGTTTTAAAAGGGGGGGTTTTTTTTTCCCCCCCCCCTTTTTTTTAAAAAAGGGGGGGAAAAATTTTTTTTTTGGGGGTTTGGGGCCCCCAAAAAAGGGGGTTTAGCGGAATTGGAGAAATCCAAAACCCCCCCGGGAAAAAAGGGGGAAAATTTTTTTTCCCCCTTTTTTTAATTTTTTTTTGGCCCCTTTTGGGGGTTTTAAAATTTGGGTTTTTTTTTTTGGTGGGGAAAATTTTTTTTTTTTTTTTTTTTTTTTAATTTTTAAAAAAAAAAATTTTGGGGGAAGGGCCCCTTTTTTTTTTTTTTAAACCTTTTTTCAAACCAAAAAACCCCAAAAAAATTTTTTGGGTTTTTTTTTTTTTTTTTTTGGGGTTTTTAAAAATCAACTTCGGAGTACCCATTTCCCCCAAATTTTTTTAAAAAAAATTTTTTTTTTTTAAAACCCCCCCCCCTTTTTTTTTTTTAAATTTTTTTTTTTTTTTTTTTTAAAAAATTTTTTTTTCCCCTTTTTTTTTTTTAAAAAAAAAAAACCCCCCTTTTTTCCCCCCCAAAAAAAAATGAAAAAAAGGAAAAATTTTTCGCTCTCCTTAAAAAAATTAAAACCCCCCCCCAAAATTCCCCTTTAAAAACAGAATTTAATTTTGGGTCCCCTTTTTCCCTTTTTCCCAAAAAAAACCCCCCCCCTTTTTTTAAAAATTTTTTTTTTAATTTTTGGGGTTTTTTTCCCCCCAAAAAAAAAAAATTTTTTTTTAAAAAAAAATTTTTTTTTTTTTAAAAATTTTTTTTTTTTTTCTTTAAAAAATTTAAAAAACCCCGGGAAAAAATTTTTTTTTTTAAAAAAAAAATTTAAAAATTTTTTAAAAAATTTTTTTTTAAAAAAAAAAAATTTTTTTTTTAAAAAAAATTAAAATTTTTTTTTTTTAAAAAAAAAAAAATTTTTTTTTAAATTAAATTTTTTTTTTTTTTTTTTTTTTTTTAAAAAATTTTTTAAAAAAACCCAAAAAAATTTTTTTAAAAAAGGGGGTTTTTTTTATTTAAAAAACTTTTTTTAAAATTTTTTTTTAAAAAGTTTTAAAAAAACCCAAAAAAAACGGGAAAAAAACCTTTTTTAAAAATTTTTTGGGGGGGGAAAAAAATTTCCAAAAAAAATTTTGGGGGAAAAAAAACCCCCAAAACAAAATTAAACTAAAAAATTTTTTAAAATTTTTTTTTTGAAATGGTTTTTTTTTGGTTTTTAAATTAAAAAAAATTTTTTTTCCCAAAAATTTTTGGGGTTTTTAAGGGGTTTTTTTTTTTTCAAAAAAAAAAAATTTTTTTTTTGGGGGGGGAAAAAAAAAAATTTTAAAAAAAAATTTTTTTTTAAAAAAAAAACCATTTTTTTTTTAAATTTGGGGGTTTTTTGGGGGTTTTGGAAAATTTTTTTCCTTTTTTTTTTGGGGAAAAAAACTTTAATTTCCCAAAAAAGGGGGTGCAAAAAAAATAAAAAATTTTTTTTCCCCCTTTAAAAAAAAGGGAAAAAAAAAAAAAAAACCCCAAAAAAAAAAATTTGGGAAAAAAAAAAATTTTTTTTAAAACCCCCAAAAAACCCCAAAAAAAAAAAAAATTTTTTTTTAAAAAAAAAAAAACCCCCCTTTTTAAAAAAACCAAAAAATTTTCCCCCCAAAAAAAAATTTTTCTTTTTTGGGGTTTTAAAAAAAAATTTTTAAAACCAAAAAAAATTAAATTTAAAGAAAAAAAAAAAAATTTTTTTTTTTTTTTTAATTTGGGGGGGAAAAAATTTTGGGGCCCCCAAAAAAAAAGTTTAAAAAAAAAAAAAGGGGGAAAAAAAAACATTTTAAAAAAAAAATTTCCAAAAAAACAAAAAAGGGAAATTCTTAGGAAAAAATTTAAAAAAAATTTTTTCCCTTTTTTCCCCCCCCTTTTTTTTTTTTAAACCAAAAATAAAAAAATTTTAAAAGAAAAAAATTTTTTTTGGGGGGTTTTGGCCAAAAAAAAAAAAATTAAAGGGGAAAAAATTTTAAAAAATTTTTTTTTTTTATAATTTTTTTTTTAAAAAAAATTTTTTCTTTTTTAAAAAAAAAAAAAAATTAAAATATCAATTTTTTTAAAAAAATTTTTTTAAAAAAAGGGGGGGGTTTTTTTTTTTCCCTTTTTTTTAAAAATTTTTTTTTAAAAAAAAAAAATTTTTTTAAAAAAAATTTTAAAAAAAAAAAAACCTTTTTTTGGGGTTTTTTTAAAAAAAAAAAAAAAAAAAAAATTTTTTTAAAAAAATTTTAAAAAAGGGGAAGGGGGAAAAAAAAAAAAAGGGGGGGTTTTTTTTTTGGGGGTTTAAAATTTTAATAAAAAAAAGGAAAAAAAAAGAAAAGGGAAAAAAAAAAAAAGGCAAATTTTAAAATTAAAAACCGGGGAAAGGGGGGTTTAAAAAATTTAAAAAAAAACGGGTTTTGGGGGAAAAAATTTTTTTTTTAACCCTTAAAAAAGGGGGGTTTTTTTAAAAATTGGGGGTTTTTTTGGGGGAAAAAAAAAGTTAAAAAAGGGGGGGGGGGAAAATTTTTGCAACAAAAAAAAACCCCCGGGGGGGCCCCCCCCCAAAAAAAAATTTTGGGGGGGGGGAAAAAAAAAAAAAGGGGAAAAAAAACCCCCAAAAAAAAAATTTTTTTAAAAACCCCCCCCTTTTTTTTTTTTAAAAAAATTTTTTCTTTGGGGAAATTTTTAAAAGGGGGAAAAAAAAAGAAGCCTTTTAAAGGGCCCCCCTTTTTTTTTCCCGGGAAAAAAAGGGGGTTTTAAAAGCGGGTTTTTGGGGGGGGTTTTGGGAAACCCCTTTTTCCCCTTTTTTTTTTCTTTTTAAAAACCCTTTTTCCAAAAAAAATTTTTTTTCAAATTTTTGGGCCCCCGTTTTTAAAAAAAAGGGCCCTTAAATTTTTAAAAAAAAATTTTTTTAAAAAATTTTTTCCCCCCCCCCAAAACCTTTTCCCCTTAAAACCCCCCGGGTTTGGTTTTTAAAGCCCCGGTTTTAAATTTTTTTTGGGGGAAAAGGGAAATGAAAAAACCCCCTTTCCCCCCGGGCAATCAAATTTTTTTCCCCCCCAAAAATTTTTTTTTCCCCCAATTTTCCCTTTTTTTCCCCCCAAAAAAAAAATTTTTGGGGGGGAAAATTTCCAAAGGGGTTTTTTTAAAAAAATTTAAAATTTTTAAAGGGGTTCCCCCAAAATTTTTTTTTTTGGGGGTTAAAATATTAAAGGGGGAAAGGGGGCCCCCCCCTTTTTTTTAAAAGGAAGGGGGGGAAAATGGTCCTTTTTTTGGGTTTTTTCCCCCCGGGGTTAAATTTTTAAAAAAAAAAAATTTTTGGGGGGGGAAAATTTTTTTGGGGGGGGCCCCCCCCTTCCCCCCGGGGGGGCAAAAAAACCCGGGGGGTTTTCCCGGGAAAGGGAAAAAAAGGGTTTTTTAAAGGAAGGGAAAAAATTAAAAAAATTGGGTTTTTTCCCAAAAGGGGGGTTTTTAAAAAAAAATTTTTTAAATTCCCCCAAAAAAAGGGAAATTCGGGAAACCCCCCCCCCCGGGGCCCCCCAAAGGGGAAAATTTTTTTTGGGGTGGCCCCAAAAAGGGGGGGAAAAAAAAAAATTCAAAAAAAACCCCCCCCCCCAAAAAACCCGGGGGGAAAAAAGGGGGCCGGGAAAAAAACCCCCCCCCCCCCCCAATTTCCCTTGTTTTAAAAAAAAACCCCCCCCTTTTTTTGGGAAAATTTTGGGAAAATTTTTTTTTTTTTGGGGGGGAAAAAAAAAAAAACCCCAATGGGAAAAAAAAAAAAGGAAAAAATTTTCCCCAAACCAAACCCCCCCCCCCTTTTTTTTTTTTTAAAAAGGGGTTTTGGGTTTTAAAATTTGGGGGGCAAAAGCTATTCCATCATACTACGTTTGGGCGAACAATATTTTGAGTGGCAGGAAGTCGGGTTGACGGGTAACCCGGCATTAAGTTTGACAACTGCCTTTGTTCGGGTCTACACTCTGTCAGGACATCATCAGGAGAGATTCTTCCTCCGGCTTCTGCTTCATGAGGTTGTTGGTCCGACAAGCTTCGAGGCCATTCGCACTGTTGACGGTGTCGTGTGCTTGCCTTAAACGTGGCCTTTTGGAGGATGATTCTCAATGGGATGCTGCAGTGGCAGAGGGAGCCCTCTTTCAGGCACTTGTTACCCTTCGATCCTTATTCGCGATCTTAATAGTAAGATGCATAATAAGTGATCCCTGTTTTATGGGCTAAGTTCAAAGACTTCATATAGGAAGACATTTTGTACACGGCACAGCATCAATGTCCGTCAGCAGATTTGGGCTACACGAACCTTATTTACAACAGGTTGCTCATTCCGGTTGAAGATATTGCTCTTGAAATGGGTGAAGCTGTGCTATCTACATACGGGTTACCACCGCCAGTGCGCGATTGCACCGCCGACTTATCACCAGAAATACTGCGCGAATCGTCTTATTGTACTGCTGACCTCGACTGCTATGTCGGAGAGAATGAATTACGCCTCCTACCAGAACAAAGAACACACCACGGTGAATGAAGCCATCCGACAACAGTGCGGTGGCATCTTCTTCTAGACTCACCCGATGGCACCGGGAAGACTTTCATTACAAAACTAATTCTAGATGAAATCAGCCGGCACGGAGACATCGAGTTTGCTGTTGTCTCATCCGGGATTGCAGCCACATTGCTTCCAGTCGGACGGACGGCACACTCTATGTTTAGACTTCCGCTTGACTTTGCCAAGGCCGAAATTCCAACTTGCAGCATTTCAATAAATTCAGGTCAGGCTGACGTATTAAGACGTTGTAAACTCATAGTGTGGGACGAGTGCACTATGGCTCACAAACAAGCACTCGAGGCGTTGAATAGGTCCCTTCAACTGCTCTCAGGGGTGGCTTGACTATCCTTCAGTCAGGTGACTTTTGACAAACCCTGCCTGTCATTCCTAAAAGGACTAGGGCCAAGGCTGTCCCTGCGTGCCTTAAGTCGTCCAATCTCTGCGCCCATGTCCAGTCATTGCACCTGACCACCAACATGCTCGCTCATTCTACTGGAGACAACGGGTCCGCTGATTTTTCAAGGGGCCCTCTAGCTTTCGGGGAGGGTCGAACGCCTTCAGACGCAGAACACTGGGAACACTGGGAACACTGTGTTCAGTTGTTGGCACTCATCAACAGCTCAGAGATGCCGTCTTTCCGCATCTTAGTACCAACTACAGTGACCTTGGGTGGCTCTCTGATACAGCCGTTCTTCCTCGAAAAAAAAAAACAAATTTAATTGAAGCGACAATTCTTACAGTTTACGAAAGGAGTGAAACTGTATTCATACCGCGCACGCATCTATCTCCATCAGGTTCAGATGTGCCCTTTACATTCTGCCAGTCGCGGTTTCCCGTAAGACTTTGCTTTGCAATGTCTGTTAATAAATCTCAGGACCAAACACTACGTGTTGCGAGAATTCACCTTGGAGTGCAGTGTTTTTCCCACGGTCAGCTTTACGTTGGCTGTTCGTCTGTAGGTAGAAGCGAGGACGTATTCGTTTACACTGCCAGGTGTTCTGAAATAAATGTTGAAGTTTTTGTAGGTTGATGGGACGTAAGCGTCGGCTGAGAGTTTGCCTCTATACGGTCTTCAGAACTGTATAAACCGTCAATGACAGTACAAACCGCCACGGAAAGCTCCTATTTCAAAAAGCAGTTTTTCCTCTTAACACACCTTCACCTGCCTTACAGACGTCCGTGATATTTGTCTCCCATTGTTACTACACCGCGCCAGATAAACACTTCCTTCCACCTGCCCTCGGCGTATTCGCATTGCTGCTTGATTTTTCTGTCAAACCCTCCTGTCTATTGCCACTGTCAACTCCATTACACCACGACCATCTACGCTGTGAAGGCATTAATAATTGTGTTAAGCGTCCCCCCAGTCAAATGCATCGCTGATGCTGCATCCATTCCCAACATTTTTGAATAGCTGAGCGCACAATGCCCACCACTACTCTCTGCAGCTACTTCAAACGTCAATTCAATAGGTTGAAACCTGAGTGCTGGCCAGTCGGCAATAAGTTCTGAGTATTTCGCTTACTTATTGAGACAGCTTCTATTATGAAGTGCCATTTCTGTGTGTGCTTCGATGTAGATCTGTCTACAATGAAGCACCCACAGAAATCGCTCTTCTACGATACAACACTTCAAACTTTATGGAAGGCCAAATGCTGCATTGCAACTCCATGACTTTACTGTTTTCTTTTTTTTCCCAAAAGTGTAACGTCCGCAGTAAAACCAACAAAAGCTACTCCCAGTGCTCCCAATTCACAAACCATTGCGCTTAACACAATTATTGTACCCTACATGCAGCTGTGATGACCTTTGTTCGTGCGCCGCGACAATTACCGAGTGTGGGCGGGGGGAGTCACGTGCGTTCGTCCGCTCAGGAAATGAAGTCAAATCATTCTCGGTTCAATAAATGAACACTCCAGACTTATGCCAAAAGAAAAGGAATGGACACAAATACACCACTAGGTCAAGGTCTTTCCAACAAGACTAAGCCAGCCGTACTTAAGTAGGGTCGGATTTGTGAATGTGTGCAAACTGGAGTAGAACAGCTTTGCCGACCACCGACGCCTATATGTTAAACGAGTCCTGCAGTGAAAAAGCAACCACTATTTTACATTGTCAGAATTCAGAATCTTGACTGATTATGAACGAGTGGCAGCACAGCAACCACCAATTGCAACCGGTGGCCCTTGATCTCATTGATTTTGCTACCAGTGAGATTCCAGGTCTATCAATGACCTCAACAACAACGGATTCAATAATTCAAAACCCAAAGCAATTGAACTACATAAAACCCCGAGAAATGCCGGGCTTTCTGCTAGTCCCAGATATTATAGATAAAGCCATCTCTCTACCTCCGTTTGCAAATATCTGTATGTTTTGTAGATTCATTGCCCACCATGTCATGTGTCTTAATTGCTTTGTGACTGACCTCACTTGCATCCAAACCTTGAATTTCTCTATCACTCGAAAGGTGGGCTTCCTCACGGGTTTCTCTAGTAATACTGTTGGACACGCTTCTTTTCCTAATCTCTATAGCCTGTAGGAATCACTTCTTCAGGATGATAGCAACTTTTTCTCTCATCGTAATAAATGCAAGCGTGTCCTCAATGAAGCGAAGTTAGTGTTCCTTAATAGAATGAAACAACTTATACCATCTCACAAGTTTGGTTCTAGATATTACTGGCGACACTGCAAGAGTGTGCTGAACGATCGTAAAACCTCATGCCCCCTCTCTTCGATCAATCTGAAGTCCTGATATCTAAAACATATAAAGTTGCCTGCTTTGCTAGTTAGTTCTCCATAATTGATTCATCTGGGGTACCTAAACTTGATTTCTCCCTAGAACAGTGGTTCTGATATGATATGCTCTGAATAATGTGCGCATAACTCAGTGGTTTCAGATATCATCTCCAAAGTAAACTCCCACAAAGCTCATAAATGTGACAGCATCAAAGACATCGTCCTAAAGAAAAAAGTGCTCGCATGTTGGCTCCAGGAGCCTCTAAAATCTATAACAACTGTCTCTCTGCTTCTTAGCTTGTTGAAATTTCTTCTCTATAATTCCTGTTTTTAATATTTCTGAAGCACACTCTAACTCCTCAAATTATTGCCTCATTAGACACTTACTACATTTCGGTAAAATATTCTTGTCTAATCAATGCTGAAGTAGTTAAGAATCTTACTTCTCACGATCTCCTCTCGAACAAACAATATGGCTTTCGTTTTGTCAATCCTGCTGCTTATGTTTTAATGACCATAACTGAATATCTAGATCAAGCTCTCGATAAGAACGACGAATTTCGAGCTGTGGCGATATCAGAAAGACGTCCGACATTGTTCTGTATACTGGTATTCTACGCAAGCTGCAGGGCTACGGTCTCATAGAAGAAAGGTTTGGTTTAATACAATCGAATGAAAGGTCATTGAAATGAATCGATCTAGATGCTGGAGAAATGGTCGGATTCATGTACCATTCCAATATCCTCCGTATTCCTATAATAAGAATTAAGTTTCATTCGGATAGCTTTTTCCAAAGTATTTTTCCCAATCACTACAATCTTGAACGATTCAAGTCTAGAGTTAACCGTTATCGTTCTTTCACTACTTGCCCTTTCTTACGCTAATCCAACATTACACAGTAACTCTCTAACTCGCGTGGATTTTGGGCCTTGTACAGTTCACGCAGCCTTTACGAAGAAAAATAAATTTGGGCAAAATGTAATCATGAATGATATATATGAGGTAGGTTTGAAAAATATATAGCCAGTTATTATTGTAAAAAATGTAGCATTAGTTCATTTTAAAATGGTGACATTTGATCTCACATATCCAAGCGTTCATTAATTCCAGGACATACTTCGAATTCTCTTTCAGTTTCGTCATCAGCTGACTACTTGTCTTGACCTTGAATTTACTCTAGTTAAAATAAAGAGTTCCCTTCTCAATGATGCTCCTCGTTTGAATATCCGTTGGGGGAGAAGTTGACTCCAGAACTCGTGAAATACTTATGTAAAATCCATCGAGATGCTGGAGAAATGGTCGGATTCATGTACCATTCCAGAAAATACCTGACACTTTCAGACATGCTTTATCTTGACAAAAGTGAGATCATACCAAAAATAGTGTATTTCTGCCATAGCTCCGCTTCAGCTGCCTAATCTTCATTTTCCAGCCTTGGCAGAGTTCAAAATCATTGATGCAGACTTACGTGCGATGAATTATTTTTCCACTCTACTACCACTTGACCATACATGCACCAACGCAAGCCTATCGCTATTCTACCGCCATATCTATGGTAAATGCTCAGATAAGCCCCAAGTGAAATTGGGTGGATGGAATTAATTGGTTGCATTCGGTGGTTGTTCTAGCATGAAATTACAAGTCATTGTTCTGACTGTTGATCAGGCCAGATAATGAGCTCCTGCAGAAACTTTAACAATGGTCCTCTAAGCTTAGTTGCAGTATTACCCATTCTGTGAGTGCTGGATAAACAGACACAAATGTACCTGAGCAGGCGTCAGCAATAGGTATTGGTTAGCCGCCCTGGTAGACAGGAATGCTTGGATACGAGCGGCCAGCTTTTATTAATATAGATTGCTTTAGTGTTCTTTAATATATATTAATATAATATTGCTCATTATTACTTATTTTAGCTATTTAGTTATTTTAGTGTGTACAGATGTTTAATTTGACATCTCAGTCAAATTAACGTGTACCCATTACTATAATGATTATATTAATAAATATATTCGGACTGAAAAAACAATGAATTATTTAAATTATTACAATATATAAAAAATATGTTTGTTAAACATTTTTTATTAGATACTTTAAAATTAATTTTTAAAATTGAGAAAAAGCATATCTATATTTATTTACGTTAGAATATAAACAGAAAATCAAAACAGTGAATTCGTTTTATTTTTAACTTTTAAACCTCAACTAGATTGTGACGCATTCATTTTAATGAACCAATTGAATTACGTTGCAAACACCGGTATGAAACACAATAAAACACTCAAATGACACAACCATAAACCAACAGCTGCAGATTCTAAAACTGCTGAACCATATATATATATATATATATATATATATATATATATATATATATATATATATATATATATATATATATATCCTGACTACAGAGTACTTGGTTACATTCTTAGGTAGTTTTACCGCTTCTTGTATAAGTATAAAAGTCTTTTTAAAAATGGAATTTCAATTCCAAATTGGCTGCTAGAAGTCGCGGTATCTAATTAAGCACAACCGAAGACACTTATCGAAGCGGTCGACAGACATTTTGTTTCTCATCACTCAAGGGTTGACTTTCTCTTCTGGGCTAAGAATTACATGCCATATTTCTTTACGGTATTCTCAGCAAAATGTATGCGTTTCATTAAGCCATGTCAAATTTTGCCTTTCAAGACGAGATGAATTTGCAAAGAATTGGTTTCAGTAATTGTTCCTACCTACTGAACGATACCACGGCGAACATTATGCAATGTTGAGCGAGCTAACACACACACACACACACACACACACACACACACACACACACACACACACACACACACACACACACACACACATTTGTTTGAAATAGACGGGAAGGTTGTAATAAATGGGCGGCTGGATTTTTTTTCCATTAACTTATATACTGTACATTTATGAATGGTTTTCTTTCTTAAATCATTTCACATTCAATTAAGCCAATAATGCCACTTAGACGCTAGGGATTACTGAGCGCTAAAGAATATGATATAAAACCCTGTTAACTCTGCGTTAGTCACATTGTTGTTTTGTTTCCGCAATAGTATTAAAGTACTCGTAATTTCGAGTTAGACTTTTGATCCAGTGAGGTTTTTTTCATTTTCGGTAAGTCGAGGTTACTAATGCAGGGTTAAGGAGAGGGAACAACAAAAGAACAAGGATCAGGGTAGAGTGGAAGATATTTGTCTTAAAGAGAATAGGTTTTATAAAATTAATCATTAGGGCTTTTAAATTACAAAGGTTTAGGTTTGGCATTTCTTCTAATCCTAAAATAGTTGATTATCTAGACATCACCCTATGCCATTGTGAGGCAGATATACACCGGGGTTGAATATGATTGAGGCAATTACCTCGGTTGAAATAGAATTATTCCCCATGTGATGAAGTTTTGAGTTTTCTTGTGTAATACTATATATTGACTCTGTTATAAGAAATACATTGAGCTTTTTTTGACATATTTATATTACTAAGATCCACGGGGACTTATTACCTTTAATATATATATATATATATATATATATATATATATATATATATATATATATATACAAGTATATGATTGGTATATACGGAATGAATTCCAATAACCAACAAATACTATTCTTAAA